TGTGTGTGTGTGTGTGTGTTGTTGTTCGTTAATGAATGTTGAGTGGTTTGTCCTAAATCACTGAAGTCTTGCGTGTCAGCAGCCTTTGAAGTTCTGTGGTGGTTTCCTCTGTCAGCGGCTGCTCATGTCTGTCTGCTGTCAGTGAGGAAACACACACACACACACACACACACACAGGCAGTGTGTGAAACTTCGTGTTTTCTACATGAACGCAGCTGATTTCTCTCTGTTGAAAAAACACAAAATAAATGGAACTGAAAAATAAAATAATATATAATCACTAATAATAATAATAATTATTATTATTATTATTGAGTTCCTTGTTCGTCCCACCGATGGGGGAATTCACAGTGTGAGTCTTTGCAAACAACACAGGCTGCCACAGGGGGCACCATTGAGTTCGTGCTTGTAACTCACAGGCTGCTACATTATAGGCACTGAGTTCGTGCTTGTAACTCACAGGCTGCCACATTATAGGCACTATTAGGGTGTGTGGTTCTGGGACTCGAGCCCAGGACTCTCTGCCTTCACGGTAGGCGTGCTAACAGCTACACTGTGGAACCACAAACATCAGAAAAAACAGATGGCGCTAAAGGCCAGATTTTAGCCACCCGTTTACTTGTCAGTAACAGGATAGTGATTTGGCTGTTAGCATGCTAGCTCTGTGTTTATCGTGAATGAAAATAGAAGGCGCTGGAGCATTGAAAAAGTTTGATTTGTTCTTGGCGTGTGTGAAGCTCCAGACACCAGGGGGCAGAAGAACCTCCATGTAGTTCAAAGTTATTATTTTTAATTCTGGAGGATGTTTTTGAACGAGGGTCTCCTTCAGCAGACCTGTTGACCTAGTTCTTAGCACGACCAGTCGCTGGTTCGCTGCTTCATCTATTTCTGTGTCCAAACTGGGAATCACGACACACGTTCCCATGGTCGGCAGGACATCCTGGACCCTGGGCCTTCAGAGAACTGGAGAGGTAGGGGGCGCTTGTCTGGTCAACGGGGTAAACAAGTCCACGATGTGAACGCAGCATCACAGGGTCTGGTATTTCCTCCAGGAGCTGCGACCAAAACAGGCCGCCAAAACCAAACACAGAGTGTGACATCACACCAACCAGGCTGTGGACACACGGACAGCGTCAGCCGCAGCGCCCTGGGACCGACTCAGTTACTTTCTGACCTGCAGAAATGTCTTGGAAACACTGAGTGTCAGACAAGCTCGGAAAAGATTCATTCACCGTCCACAAAAACACACTCAGCCAGGGGGGGGCAGTGTTGACGTTAGCCCCCGAGGAGAGAAGTCAACGGAGGAAGAAGCAGACGGACGGAGAGAGTTGGAAGAAGAACGACGAATTTCAAAATCGTGCACGAAGCGACGACGTGCGCGCCGGTCCGAGCAGCCCTTCCTGTAACCTCTGCACCACGTGGACGTCACTTTAGAGTTATGTCAGGAAATGCCTCAGTGAACCTCAATTAAATATAGTTTCCATTGTT